GTAAGAATTTTCCCTCATATGCACATAACACTTTCAGGTTCTCCTTATGGGGAAGTCTGGTTCAGGAAAGACCAGTATGCGAAGTATGATTTTCGCCAATTACATTGCACGTGATACAAGAACTCTGGGTCCAACAAGTACGGTCTGGATGTCCCTGTTATTAACATTTTTTCTTAGTGGAAGTTGAGCACACTCATGTACGACTCTTGGGTGGTCTTGTCTTGAATCTGTGGGATTGCGGAGGGTTTGTCTGGTTCTTTTACTGATAAATCTTGCGCATCAGACAGGAAGGCTTTATGGAGAGCTATTTTGTAAATCAACGAGAAAGCATTTTTCGAAATGTCGAAGTCCTCATTTACGTATTTGATATTGAAAGTCGTGAAGTTGAAAAGGACTTTGCCTATTATGAATCCTGTTTGGAAGCTGTGAATCAAAACTCCCCTGGGGCTAAAATCTTCTGTCTAATTCATAAGACAGACTTGGTGTCAGAAAAAGATTTAATCAGGGTACGTTCTTCAAAGTGTGCATTTCATAAAATAGATGATATGTATTATTTCTCAAACTCGTGAGTTCGGATTGTACCGAACAAATCACTGCACTATGGTCTTTGTGTAACGTTTTACAAATCAGGCGCACGGGTGCGGAATGGAGAAGACTGGGAGCCGGAACTGTACACTTACTGTAATAGAAAAAAGAGCTTTATGCAATAAACAATAGCAACGGGTGTATGAACAAGAGAACCAGAATATGACATTGCAATATAAAAAAGTGTTCATGCTTTGCTAGTAAACAGAATACTGTCAGGTTACCCAGACCAAAGTAGGTGACTTTTCTCAGGGAATTTACAACCGTAGTCTTTGACTAATCAAACCCTGACCCGCAACGCGGTGGGACGGTGTACTAAAAACCGCATTTCACTGGGATCGGTGTCCAGTTCATCATATGACACCTCTTGGTCGGGATCAAATGTTCAAGGTGCCCAATAAAGCTCGACGCTCAATCGAGCCGGTGACCAGTACCACAATCGGGAAGGTGTGGTTCGTACGTCTTCTCTCAGTTGGTCCAACACCAGGGTTTTATGCACAGCTGTTGGGTAGAGTAGATGTCTCCGGTTTTCGTGTTTTGGGTCCGAAAGTCTCTACAACTGTTTGTTTGTAAACATTCGGCGATATGGCCTCGAACCGACAGCAGTGGCGATCTTGCTGTCACTTCTTTTCAGCCAAGAATGCTTGTATATATTTAACACAACCAATTATATAGGTTTGACAGATGTGCCACAACAGATGAAGAAAGAGATGTGAAAATGGTTTCAATATAAATCAACTAATGCCTGAAATAGTGTGTATGCGCAATTGGACTGTGTACTCTGTGTGTTGACCATAAGGGTTCACTTTCGTCCCCCTCCCTGAAAATAGACCCAGTCCCTGTCCTTCTTACATCATATCACTTACTTTGTATGCATTATGAGTTTAACAGCGATCAGTGAAGTTCGCTTCACTGTATGTTACTGTGCGATGACGATGATAATGATGATGGTAATGCGTTTCAAGAGATCTCTCCAGCATCACCCATTGTTTAGGACGAACCTCCAAGCTTTGTGCAATCGAATGCAGGTTACGAGGTATTAGCGCATGGTTGCTGGTGTCTTCCATCTGATTGGTGTGGATTTAGTCGCGGGACTAATGTGTCCCCGATTGGATCAGAGATTAGATCTCTTCTTCCCATCATTTCAGTTTGTACAACCATTAACCATACACTTTCGTGCGTGGACTTAAGTTGCTGTTTTTTGGCTACCCATTTGGATGAAGGGATAGAAGACAGATCGGAAAGTTGCAAGTAGAGTCAAAAACAGATTTAAGATTTCTGGTAGACTAAGGTTGCAAAGAAATGCATAAGCACTACTGCATTACACTTTTCCAGGTCTTAGCTCTTCATCCATTGCCAGTGTGAACAATCATCGCGCGCCATGGCTACCTGTTTGGCGACAAGCGTAGCACATGCCCCGAATAACGTAATCCATGAAGACAGACCACTTGCCCATTGCGGTTGCCTAAAATTATGCGCATGACCTCAACATTACTCGTCCGGTTACCTCACCAGATTCGTGCAGTGCTACGTAAACAGCAGTGTTCGAACGCCGACCATCTATTATCCTATTTTCGTACTGGTGCGACGAGACTGCGCCTTGGCATGGTGTGATGGGTAGCGTGCCTCCATGACTCTGCGAGCTATATAGGATGGCTTCTCACAACTGCAGATCCAATCATGTCTGAAAGGTCAATAGGTAGAGGCCAGACGAAGATTGGTCTCACAAAGCCAGCTGATTGGGCACCTGGTTTCCTTGGAATATCCACTCCAGCCCCTGGAGATGTCACTCCGGCAAAAAAAAACACGAGGGACAGTTTACCGATCAAAAAGCCCCGCTAGATGGACGTATGAGCGGGGTACCTGGGGCTTCCTCCTGACAGTGGAGGAAGTCTTCACACTTGACCGGACCGCCCGCCCAAGTTGGGCCGCCCCCAGCTAATAAAGTGCTGTCCCGTCGACGTTCTGCTTGTCTCATTGGGTCCATGAGACTAAGGGCCAATCCCGCAAAGCGGACCATCAGCCAACGCATCGGAGAACAAAACACTGAACGGAAATTCAATTGTCCTACGTGACAGGTCTCCAGAAGCTTACATATGAGTTCTTCGTTCAGGCTCCCTCGTTGGATCTACGCCCCACTGCCTTGTGGGTCAAGCTTTCGAGTCGAAGGCTCCGATTAGGGTTACTTAAGATGAAACACCCTTCGTCGGTGTGAGCAACCGCGAAGTATGCTATGCCCCAAATTCTTAGGTACCCTTTTGGAAAACCATTTTCCTCAACTGTCCACTACCTCTTCTCATTCTCAAACCTTAGGAGATGCATCCTGTTTGCGCCACCCATTTGGCATCATTCAGCGTTCAACTAATGAGGACAACCACTCAGGGGCTATCGAATTTTTGAAACCTAAATCTCCTTTTCGCTTAGCCGCATTTAATATCCACACACTCGATCAGATCGGTCAATAAGCTGCCTTAGTTAGCGCCCTTGAAATCTCCCATTTAGATGTATGCTGTGTCTCCGAAACACGCGTACAAGACCCTACTTCAGTGATCTCTTTACGTTCTCCAGATTCAACCTCATCCTCACGCTTCACTCTCCGTGTGTCAGACGATTCGACATCCGAAGCTCGCGGTGTTGATGGTGCTGGGACTGCGCTGACTGTCACGGCTGAGCGTTCACTTCTCGCCTGGATTCCAATCTTTTCCGATTAACTATGAGCACAGGTTTAAGGAAAACAAGCGTGAGGTAATTAAGGAATCCAATGGCACACTGATTTATATTCAGCAACGCCGTCTAGGTCGATCATTTTAAGGCTCAGTTCAGTTGGCGCTCGTCAGAACAAAACCTCCCTCCGATTCAACTGTGCAAGTACTGCCAGTTGAAATCAGTCCTCCATCTGAAATTGAGGTTACCCGAAAAATAAGCTATCTCAAAAGGTATAAGGCTTTCGGCCCCGACGGGCTGTCCCCATCGTAATTTAAGGGTGGAGATTCAGCCTTGGTTTTGGAGTTAACAAAACTCATGGGCTCTGTGTTGGAGAGGGAAGAGATTAGAACAGAATGGTGTGAATCGGTGATCGTACCGATTTACAAGAAGGGCAACAGGTCCTCTTATGAAAACCACAAGGAATAAGTTCGATCAACGTTGCCTCTAAACTTCTCGCCGGCATCATATTCCGTCGATTGTCTGTCGCACGTAAACGGTGTATGCGTGAGAACCAGACTGCTTTTAAACCAGGTCGAGGCTGTATCGACCACATCTCTCTTCGTCAAATTCTAGTACTCAGACACTCCTTTCGTAGACCCTTCACTTTCATCTTCCTCGATCTGAAAGCGGCTTTCGACTCAGTCAGTTGCTCAAAACCCTGGCGCTGCCTTTCCCGAATAGGTGTGCCTGAGAAGTATTTTAATCCCTCTATAATAATAGCCGAAGCGGAATCGGAGCTTACGGCACTTTTTCACCTGACTTCACCACAGCAAGTGGTGTTCAACAAGGTTGTACACTCCGTTTTTATTTGACTTTGTTATAGCTTTAATTCTTAAAACAGTTCTATCATCCTGCGAGGATAGTGGTACTGATTTACTTCCAGATGGCAGACTGTCTGATCTAGAGTATCCAGACGACATTGTGCTACTAAGTGAAGATCCAGGTAAGTTACAAGCTTTTCCGGATAGTTTGAGTACTAGTTTAGCCATGCTCGGTATGCGTTTTGCACCTTCAAAATGTAAAATATTGCTACAAGATTGGGTTAATCCTGCAACCAGACTCACCCTAACAGGGGAAGTTATAGAGCAAGTAGACATTTTGCTATCTGGGCAGCTATATCTCATCCGGTGGACGCATCACGGATGAAGTGTCAGCTCGCATACAGAAGGCTCGACTGGCATTTGCCAACATGAGTCATCTGTGGCCCCGTCGCGACATCCAGATGTCTGTTAAGGGTCGAGTGTATGCTGCGGCAGTTCGGTCAGTTCTGTTTTACGGTGCAGAAACTTCGCCATTAGGGAAACAGGATAAAGATAGACTGTAGGTGTTCGAACACCTCTGTCTACGCAGCATTGCACGAGTCTGGTGGGGAAGGCGGACGAGTAATGCTGAGATTAGGCACAGGGTTTTAGGTAAATGCGGTCGTCCACTGGAGCAAGCGGCCGACCTTCATAGATTACGTT